AAAGTTCTACGAAATACTTACTTCTTTCTAATTGAATGAAATAGAGGATTCTGATGAAATGATATAGTTGTATTCAGTTATTTCTTTGGCAAGAATTCTACGTCATCGTCAGTAGATTTATTCACATAACCACGAGCATTCCAAGAGACCGTTAGCATACAAATAGATAACGTGTTGTGACATGCCTACCAAGGGTGAAGTTACGTCATCTAGAGTTGTCATGCTTGTCATTCTGGGGCATGTGCCAACTGAGACCATACAGACGGACAGGAACCAGTGTGTCCCAGAGTTGACAGTATGTATGGCGCGCGGACTACCCTGCGGCAGAGGACGAATTAACCTACCACGTGAGTGTCAGCTGGTAGGTGTTAGTTTTCGATAGAGGAAAACGACTGCGATTCATTTATTATGGACAGAAATCTGTTTTTATCCCAGTATATCTTACCGTTTCTCTCTCAAAAGAATTTCACAAGAAATTCACAAGTTCCAAGCGTCTTATCTCTATTTCGTTTCACTTCAACCCCAATCTGACTTAAAGTCTCATGTGACAAGCCTCATTCGACAGCTAAAATTCATACATTACATAAAAGCGGTACCGTGGAAGTCATTTGATGGTGCTTTAGAACGAAATTTTATTTCAGTTTTTCTACCAGTTAACATATGACTTTCCAAAGTTATCCCTGATAAAACCATTAGCGAAGGCAACCAACTACCACAAACCCATTAAGTCAACTTCCTTGACTTCAGATTCACAACTATAACACTCACTGCACATTAAACCAGTCGAGTAGTGAAGCTAGTCAGGGCTTCTAATGATCATAGCTTACCACGAATCAATTCTACGAGAAACAATGTATAAAGATTCAAAATACAGGAATAAATATCACATCGTTTTCTAAGATAGCTATTTGCTGTCCAGATAAAATATGACATGCAGTGTCCTAAAAAATACACGTGAAACGCCCGCTATTGGTGAAAAGAAGAAGGCTTTCGGTGCGGAGTTATCTATTAGAAAATGCCACCTGACAAGTTACAGACTATTGGACAGCAAAGCAACACTCTCATATGCATCTTGTTTACAAAAACTGAGCATCCATCTTCTCTCGAACGCCTCTTCCTGAACTTTCTTGGATATTCGTTGGCTGTTGCTCAAATCAAATCCAAGCCTACAAATTGACCCCACATATTCCGCAGTAGAATTCCCTCTTCAAGAGACGCAAAGCGAATTTACAAGAAGTGATAGAATTCACCTGGTGTTAGGCTATGCCACTTACCACACAGGTAGACTCAATACCCACATACCTAAATGTTTTACTGAACTGGGTATGCCCTTATATTGGTATAGCTACTTACTTAGATGCTGTTCGTTTTATCCAGGCTATTCATGCGCGAAACACTTGTGTTCTATTCTGACTCAATGAAAGTAAGATAACCGAGCAGGTTTGTAATCATCCCTTTTGAGGTACTTAACGAATGGGTAACAGAAAGCTTCTGCGATTAAGCACCCTGAGAGGCTTTTCCTTTTATGCCAAGTTCTCCAGTTTCGATCGCCTGTATTAACCTTTGCAGTGAAAGCTTACGGATTTTTCTTGATTTCTTCAAAGAGATTTTATCAGAACTTGGGTGTTCCAACACTTCTTTTCATGTAACATATACTCAAGAAGTTTACTATTAGTAGTGATGCATTTTGTGAGGAGAGGATGACCATTTTTGTTGTCTAGGGAGAAAAAGTAGACAAATACAAATATAATTCATTCAGAAAGGTTGCTGAAATGTCAAACCTAAAGCTCAGTTGAATTTGAATTTGCTTAATATTATATCACGTATTGGGCGTGGCACCTCGCCTATCATAAATACCTAATTCAGTTGTTCAGCTGCGGTATTTGTTTGATTTTTTTGCACTCTTTCCAGCCCGATACACTTAAAGCGCAGTTGAACA